TCCCGGAATGAATTTCCGAGCTGAACACCAGACAATTTCACGTAACCCTGTACTTCCCGAATACCCTGTCGCCCTTGCTGCGCCAGTCGAGGTAACTGCCATCTTGAAACTGCTGCTCTCGTTGGGCCCGAGATCTCTCGAGAGCTTCCCGCAAAGCCCGCTAGCCCCCAACGCAAGATCCCCAGCATTGAGTGCGTACGCAATACGCTAGCTCTTCTATTGCGTTCTGCGCATGCGCACTCACGACCCGCAATTTCCTTGTGTACGCAAAGCTCTACAGTACGGTCCACTATAACTCTGTAATATCGCTGGCCGTGAACTGCCAGAGTGTTGCTTTCGCTACGCGTTCGCGGCCTTTCATTTAATTTAAAAAGCACCCGCCTTCTGACGCTGCAAACATGTTGCGCCTACACTACGATGAAACTCGAGATGAGAAATTAAAACAAAACGGTCAAGGCAAACACAGCTGGGGGTTTATTCACCACAAAGTGTGAGTGGATACACATTAAAAGGTTAAAATGCGCGAACAAACAAACAGGACGAAAAAAGACACACGTATGACCACTGACAGGCGCCAACTTACAACAGTTTTATTGAAATACGAATCATCGCCAAACTCGATCTCAATCGCCTAAGCACATCCAACTGATAAAAAATTCTTATCGCTCATTACATACATGCTTCAAAAAACGCAATTTCTTTGGTTAACAAAGAGATGGCATGCTTAGGCATCTGTCAGCCGCTGTGTGTATACAGATACTCAAATACAAATACTCAAATCTGTATACACAATGCGGCTGACAGATGCGTACGCATGCCATCCCTGTATCTGTTAACCAAAGAAATTGCGTTTCTTGAAGTACGTGTGTAATGAGCGATAAAAATTTTTTATCAGTTGCATGTGTTTAGGCGATTGGGATCGAGTTTGATGATGATTCATATTTCAATAAATCCGTTGGAAGGTGGCGCCTGTCCAAGTCGTACGTGTGTCTTTTTTGGTCCTGTTTGTTCGCGCCTTTTAATTTTTAATAGAAAAAAAAACAACTAGCCCCAACCAAAGTTTTATTGTGGATACACATTTCGGCAAAAGGTAAAAAGAAAAAACACGTCCCAAAGCTCAGAACGTTTACAGGCGGTAGTCCGGCTGGTTAATCCTCTCTTAGGTTCACCACACCACTTAGACGGAAAGTGGGCACGCAAATGCCCAAAAAGGAAACATCCCCCAATAGTACAAGAGCTATTCCTACTTTTGACTGAACCCCCGTAATTTTCTTACTTCTAACTACAATCCGCTTAACATCAAACCGGATGTCAGGGCAATGAAGAGTAATAAATAAACTTAATATAAACTATACCAACGAGTATGTCTCCAGTAAAGCGGGACGTACGCCTAATTAACACGGTTCAATGTGTTTGGTAAGGCACTTTCGCCACGCAAATGACTCATTAGACAAATTGAGGGACATGTAATTGTAATTTGTAATTTATTTGCACAAGAAGTATGATGCGACGACGTGCGAGGCTAGGCAGAAAGGTAACAACCCTTACGCTTGTGCGCCTGCTAGCCGGTCGCCGCATACACCGTGGATGAGGGGAAAGGAAAAGGGGAAAGCAATTTGGGTAAGTATAAATAGTCAAAACAAAACAGCAAAGGAACAACAGTGGTTATGGTGCCGCAGCTCATGAGGTGTCCGACGCCACTTGATAGGAGAAGAGCCTGCACAGTTCTCGGGACTCATCATTTGATGCCGGTAGAGGGTTGCGAGCGTTTAGTGGGACAGTTAGAAAGTCTCTGATGGCGGCGGGGATGAAAGATTTGCTATGGCGAGTGGTTCGGCCGCGGAGCGGCTCGGGCTGACCTGTCCTTTTGCTGACACGCACCACTGACGCGAGGTGAAACCCCGCAAGCAACCCGTCGAGCAGCCGACAGACCGCACGTACACGTGATGTCCGCCTACTCTGTCCGAGGGGTTGCCACTCGAGTTCCCCAAGACGTGCGTTGTAGGAGACGTCCGCCGCACCGGATGACCGGCTCCAGATGGTTCGGGTCGCCCGACACAGGACGCTCTCGAGCCGTTCACGAAGGTGCTGCTGAGCGTCGAAGGGGAACGGAAGGACAAGTCGATGACCGCGCTCCAGACCGACTAATCTGGTTATTATTAGCGGTCCCGAAGGATGCAAAAAACGCTTTTCCAACTTTTTCCTGTTTAGCTTTCCTCCTCAACTCATAAATCGCGCATTCTTTCAAAGAGTTCAAGAAGACGGAAAGGGGGGAGTCCCCTCTTGCTCGTAATCTCGTTTCTTGCCATTGTCCCCCTAGAAGATTAGCCCGTGGCTCGAAATTCAGACAAATGCTGCTTTCCCCACCTCGTTCAACCCATAACTGATAGTGCTGTTGAAGCTACGTGCTCGTTGGACCAGCCACACTTTTGTCACGTGATCACGCTCTCTCGCGCATACCCACGCGCAGAGAATGAGGGCAGGTGATGAAAGAAAGGCGGCTGATTTGTCCGGCATGAGCGTAGCTTCCAGCACAATGTCAGCTTAGGGGTGAAGGGATTAAGTGAGGTCCGGTTCCGTGTGACCTGCGTTTGGGCCCGGCGACGCGCTGCGGGGTCCGCAGATGTAACTTATGCTTAGCGCCCACTCAGAGCTCGACAAGGCAGCTGTCTGTCATTCGTAGGCAATGCACTAAAACAAACTTGTATTTATTGTATCTGAAGTGTGCATAGCAATCAAACGAGCGATTATAATATCAGCTGGCTACAGTTTGAAATCCAATTAGAAAAGCCCCCAAAGTGTTTCAAAGCTAAATAGTGTGCTTCCGTGCTTCTCTGGTTCCTCATGTAAATAAAAAATAAATAAAAAAAAACTTTTTGCTGCAACGTCTTTCTTTTTTTTTAGTGCTGCTTTTAAAACGGTCTTCTGGATGAGGTAGATAACACCGTTTCACTTAGAACATAAACAGGGACGTAACAACAAATGTAAGGTTCCGTCACTGGGCTGCGTTTCGGAGTTGTTTATGCCCATGTCCCATTAGAGCGACAGACAGAAACAAAAGACAGCGACAAGCCTCGAACCCACGCAGCACGCTCGCGATGGTACCTTTGGCAGGCGTTTAGTCGTTCAGTGCTCGTGAAGTAAGCACGAGCGATTGCAAGCCTGCCAAAGATACCCTAGCGTGCATGATGCTCGTGTTTCAGTATAGCATCCTTTATTCTACAAAGCCTCTCGAATCGCGAAACACTCTAGTTTGAGGCTTGTCGTTGTGGTTTGCTTCTGTCTCTCGCTCTAGTGGGACACGAGCATTACAAGATTAGGTGTGGTCCCAAAATGTTCATGTGTTATGACCGCTTCACGAAACAAAAACGGGAATGTTAAAATTAGACCCTTAGCTCAAAACTTGCAGGTCGAGGTAATTTACATTGCCCTCTTTTGGGAAAAAAAAAAAGAAAGAAAAACTTCAGCTTTTCGCGAGGCTTTTTTTCTTTTTTTTCGATGTGCTTTTACTCTTATTGATTTCCAGATTTAAAGGGGCTATGAAGTTAAATAAAAAATTAGTTTAAGGCTAGTTGGTTCAAATCAATTAATATATTAGAAGGCGTGATTAAGGTGGTTTATGAGATTCCTTTTAGTTGCGGACAAGTTTACATCGCTCAGACCGGCCGATTCCTTAAAGGGGCCCTGCAATGCCTTTTTTACTATTTTTTAATTTGCACCAGTCCTGAGCGCACTGAACGTAGTAACTCGGGGAACTTTTTCTTTTCTCGAAATTCGCTTTATTTTAAAAGTTATAGGCAAATTAAAATTACAAGAAAAAAGCAAAAAAAAGCAGAAAATAACCTCCCTCTTACGTCTTTGGTCCTGGCTTTGTGGTTGGTCCTGGCCTGGCGTAGTGACTGGCCAATCGGCTACGGCTTACGTTAATGGCCGCTTCCCCTGCGACGCGTCAACGGCTCGTTGCTCGCTTCAGCCCTCCAACGCGCTTGCCGGCATGAATTTACCGGGTCTGTCGGAGTTGGAGGTCCGAATCCTCCATAGAAGTGCGGAGCTGGGAGTAGTACCGTACGAGGACACTCCTCGCAAGCGTCTGAAGCGCGCTGGCGAAGCTTCTCGGCCCCAACTCGACGAAGTTCCGGGCGTGCTTCCTACCGCCCCACTACCGGAGCCACCGCCACCTCGTCGAGTTGGAAGCACAGATTGGTGAGCGTTTTCGTTGTAGCTATTCCCATAATCACATTCCACGCACAATCGGGGAGCTCGGCTTTTAACGACTGTTTTTTGCAATCAAACAGGTGCGACTGCGGCCGCTGCACTGCGATGCCGACAGCTCGAGAGTGCTTCTGCTGCCGAGAATTGGCACCGGCCGTACGGAAGCAACCGACGCGGTGCATCACGTTGGACGGAGACTTCTCGAAGCTATGCTTAGATGTTGCCGTTCTTGCGGTGGCATACTGCGAAGTCCGTGAGAGCGGTCGTGAGCTTCAACACCAGCTGCACGAGTGAGTAGGCGGGTATGAGGGTTGGCATGAGGCAACCTAGCCGAATTAGCCGTGGCGCAGACGTCACATTACCCAAAACGAAAACCGTTATTATGTACTACATGTAAACATTTAGGGACTTGTGTGAGTGCGGTGACTCACGGAACCTTTTAGTATGGGTTCATGTTTTCGAAAGCCCAAACTTGCATGGTTTCCTTGTGTTCATAATTTTGAGCTTTATATTTGTTCTTCAATTTCTGCATCTTATTCGGTGAAAATTATGCATCATGCACGACTCCTTTTTGCTCAAAGGTTTACGCATTTACTGTCTTGCCAAAGATATCCCAAATTAAATCACTCCTTTTTTTTTCTTTTTTTTCATTTTGTCGTGTATATTTTGTTTGATTTTGCACAAAATTTACTTTTGACAAAGCAAGCATATATGCTTTTCTAGGGATTAATCTCATTCCTAGCAAGTAGCAATGTACCGCGCATAGAAAATAGACTGCAACACAGTTAAACATATCAACAGTGTTTTTATTACATGGAAAGGCAGTAGTATATACACATAGGCCAACTGCACCACATATCTTAGACCTATAGATAACAGCCTGTCAAAATAATGGGAGTTGGCGTGACAGGTGACACTACTGTCAAATACTGCAGAAGCACCCACTGTGGACAATCGCCCGCTATTATTATTTTAAAAACTCAGGAATACTGCAGATAGACCGATCTCACCAGCAGGGCTGGGCAGTATTGCGATACAAATGTATTGCAAGAGTACCTTGTTTGCGCTGTTTGACCCCTAAACATGCTTCACCAACTAGCCCAAATTTCAACAGTATGCCCTCCCCACGTAGCACCGTTCAGGAACAAATGTATTTTTATAAGTGTCTGTATCTGTATTCCAGAATACTTTTTCAATGTTTTTCAGAGGTGTCTCAGTGTCATCCCGTTGCATAAGACAGATATATAGCATCTGTATTTTAGGCCTTAAAATACATATATCTCAGTATTTGTATTCCTGAATATTCTCTGGAGTATCTATGCATCGCCCTGCTCACCAACCAGTTTGACTGCACCACCGCTATCACAATGCACCAAGAAACCTTTTGTCTTTCTGCATGTGCAAAAGTATTTAACAGGTTGTTACTCTGAGGTAGGTTTATGTCGGGCTTAAACATTTTCAAGAAAGGCAGGACAGCATCGAAGATGTTTGTCAATTTGGCAAGCTTGGAACTGCATGTCGCAAAGAAAACATACAAACGGTAAAGGAGCTTTGGCCAAGGATCGTCTACTCACAGTATGAATGTTAGCGGAGGAAGTGGGCATTCAAGCGTGAAATTGTCCGCTTTATTTAGACCTGGGATCTGTGTGATTGTGCTTCCCAACATTCAACACCGTGTGACAAGGGAGCTGGACGTCCTCCCGAAAAAGGACTTCGCTTAGATTTTCCAGGTACTGTTCATTTCCTGTCTACAAAAAACAAACGCTCGATTTTTCTTTTCTGCAGGAAGTATCGCTTTGTGGCGTACCGGCAATTCACCCGCTGGATGTGGGGTCGCCTGGGCGCTGGAAACCGGCGAGTTTTGCCAGCATGTGCTGTTCATAAAATAAGAAAAACATTTCCCTCCCAGAGGTACACTGGCTTCCGGTACCCCTCTCTGGACTCCGCACCAGTGGATAGCTGAGGTTGGTTCACTTCTTGTGTCGGTGGTCTCTTGTGCAGTAGATCCTTCTGAAACCACAAGTATCGAAGTAGTAACAGCTAACATTAGCTGTAGTTAATTGCACCCCTGTAAATCAGCAGAGCTTGTTATTCTTTGATTCAGCCCCACAAATAACTGTGTATAAACTTTAATAAACATTTGACTGCATTTTGAACTTTTTTAAACTGGGCAAACAACTTAATACCAGTGCCACAGAGAGATATAAGTATTGATAGAAATAGTGTGCTTTTTAGTATGTAATAAAAAAAAAAGCTAAAGTAAGCGGACTGGATGCTGTGAATGTTTATACATGTATTGCGAGATATCAAGCCATTTTTAAGAATTAGTGATATGGTTAGATGAAGTCCTGAAACGCTTCTAAGATTTATGTAATGTATGAGATGTAACAGCCTGTGTACACTGCACTGTCTCTGAGTGAGGAGTTTTATTTCTAGAAAACCCATCTCCAGATAAGCCAAGATAAACACGGAAGTTTGCTTATCAGATGGGCTTTAAGCCCTGCAGTGTGAATGCCTGTATAGTGGACTCTACTCCATAGTATGACCAAATTCAGTATTAGAGATTTTGAAAACAATGCACTCCCACAATCCTTGCAGTTATAAAAGATTGGCCTAGGTTCAGTTTCTGGGCTTGGCTGTTCGAAAAAAATTTATAAGTCCATAAGGATGCTATATTTTTCAAATTTTAAGGGGTGCAATATGATACAATTATTGCTGTTTGTACCTAGTTATTCTCTTGTAATCCTCACATTTTGTCCCTTCTGAGAGATGTATTGGCATGAAGTTGCCAAAAGTCTGATTGCACATGAAAATCTTGCCAACTTTAAAGGGACACTGACCTGGTGTTTATGCTCGCCAAGGTTTTTATTTGTACATGACATATGAGAGAACAACTACCCAGAACACAATTTGCGGCCCAAAGTTCATTTTCTTTTCGCCCGAAAACCGCCAATCAAGAGCTGGCCGGTTTGAGTCGCGCTTATTTTCTTCTCCAAGGTCACGTGCCGTTTTTGGTTGGTTTAGACACAACCGCTAAATATAATCAACGTCGTGGGCCATTGAAGGCAAACACTCAATATTAAAAATAAAAATTAAATATCATACCAATTTTTTGTGGCTTTTAAAAAGCCGGAAATATGTCGATTGAAGACAAAAAAGGTTGCACAGCCACGTGGCTTCCCCCCGCTGTCTCCTTCTCTATATTTCTTCTTCCTCCCCAGTCCAGTTTTCATTTCAGTTTCGAGCAGTTGCTGTTGAAAACAACAATGGACACCACCGGCATGAGACATTTAGTCTGGGGTGAGAAGAAGGGGGGACGGGGAATCTCGACCGCGAGAGAACGGGCAGTCGAATAGACCGTTTAACACAAGCCGGTGGTGCTGCGATTCTTTCTCGACCTCAATGTCATCAACGAATACCTAGCGAAAGAGCGCCTCAAAGCGCAACATTTGCGTTTTCTTACTTTGTTAAAAAATATATGTGACACTGTTGCAAAATATTGATTTGGTGGTCTTTCGACACCATAATGAATCGCCTGGCAAAACACTAAAAAAACTTTTTTGGGTGTGTCAGTGTCCCTTTAAGGATTTATGTCCCAAAAAGCCAGGTGAGCTGGCATACCCCTAATCCTCATGCTAAATAATTAGCTGCAAGGTATCTGTATGGAGCATTCACCTCATGAGTGTCCTGGCGCCCCCCGGCTGAAGCGCGACATTCTCTGCGCCACCAGCTGCTCTTTGGGGAGCCTTGGGTACAGCGACGCCATGGGGAGGACTTCTTCCTGACGGGTCTTTTCCAGTGCCTCCTTGAAGGAGGACGACTCGTTGCAGCAAGCGACAACTTCGTGGAGAAGTGCGCCGACGTACGCTGTAATAATTGAGAGCATAGGGGAAGCTTTATACAATAAAAAAAATTTAAACCAAACAAGTGGCTACTGGTAACATTTGCAGTTATCTCAGAAAAGCCCAGTGCAACACACTTGTTTATGTCATACCATAGGTAGGCTTGGTTTTCTCCTTCTTGACGGTCTCGATCCCCTTCTTTGCCCTCTGCATTCTCCTCTTCCACTTGAGACGTCCGTCCCTTGTGAGGGCTTGGCTTCTTGTGGAGTTCTCATTATGATGGAGGGCAGCCAGCCTGGTTCTGAAGCAGAAATGTTGTCCACCGTCAAAAGCATTGTTGGGAAGTGTTAACAAAAAACAGTGGCGTAGCCAGAGACTTTTTTTGGGGGGGAAGGGAGGAAGGGGGGGCTAAGGGGTGGAGCTCTTGGGGGGGGCTAGGGGGTGGAGCTCTTGGCGTGTGGGGGTGCCGAGGGCATGGAAACATTTTTTTGCGCTGGACATGCAAAATGGCGCCTTGAGCATAGGATAGGAGTGGAACCACACTCCGACGGCAGGGGGAAGGGGAAGGGTTAAAGGGCTGTAGGCTGGGCTGAAACACGATAGGCCCGCTTCCTGGCTGCGCACCTGACACAAAGCTAGACTGGGTACTTTCAGGTGTGCCAACTTTTTTGACAAAAGACAAACCTGGCAAGCATCATGCCGGGCTTGAATGCAACAGACTTGGGGGCAAATCTTGTCAGAGTACTGTGATAAGACTCGAGGTTGTAGGTCTGGCCCGCGGGTGAGACGTGCTCGAGGTCCCTAAGCAGCAATCGTTGTGTCGTGATTGCTGCAAAACGCTTGTATGCTGGGGTACCTGAAATAAAAATTGCTCACTGTAGAGGTTCTTTCTACTTACCCTCCCCACAATATACATATGCAGTTATACCAGACAGAGAAGTGAGTGAAGCTAAGTTATTGAAATGGGTATCTACTGACCTGGAGAAAGCCACTCCCTCTCTCCAATGAGAGGGTCATGGAGGCAGCGGTTGTAGATCCCTCGGTGGCCAGTATGCACATCCGAGGCATGATTGTTGATGCCTGCAGTTTCATAAAGTTTCTGCTGTCACCCTCCAGTTTACATGACTACCGAATACCAGTTTTGTATTATAGAATTGCTTTCTGATCAGGCGATGTTTGAGGAGCTAGTTTGTGTAGCTGTGCTCTGCTGATTTTGTCATGTTGGCTTCCTTTTTGCATTCACATTTGTTCTATAATATAATATTTTTATACAAAATTGGGTGATTTTGGCATTGGGCGTGAACTTCAGTCAAAAGTTATATACGGCTATAAAAGGTCAGCTGATCTAGGGAAAATAGAATATAGAGAGAAAAAGGGACAGACATACCACTGGGACGGTCAACTACAGCTTGTTATATATGGCTTGTGTCCTACATCTTTCTACATGTACTGGTGTATTCCTCCAATAGGTTGTTCTGAAACATCATCCCTCAATGTTCTTTTTTAATATTATAAGGAAATGCAAGGATAGTGTGCTGATTTGTTTTTGCAATGACAAATGTTAGATGCGAATGCACTACTGCATGATATACCACAGAAATGTGTGTAATACGAGGAATTTTTTTTATGTTTTTGCATGTGAATTGTGTCTTGTATTATATAAAGATTCAAACAATTTTCAGCATTCATGAGGTCAGTTAAAACACAGTCTCTCGTAGTTTCGGTTCCCAAGTAACCAAAATCATTATCACGCTTTTGTTAGCTGTTGTACCATCACCCGACCACTTAATCAACCAAAGTCGCCACTGTCGATCGCCTGGCTGCTGTCAAAATCTCGCCAAGCACCTCATTGGGACCATTGCGGAGGTGATACACGGCGAAACAAGTGACTTTAGAAGATAGTTGGCAGCAGCATGGCAAAAGTTGGCTGTAAATGAGGGAAGGATACAAGGGTGGAGGCAACAGACACAACCCCTTTCTGCATGCAACAGCACAAGAGGTGTCCGGTGTCCAAAGAACGAAGCACTTTCTGGGGTGAAAGTAGACATGGCACACTTTGTGAAAAAATAATGTACTTTGCATCCTGGTATAAACAATTGAGGTACTAGGGGCAGAGGCAATGGAACTAGTAAGACAGAAAGGCATCCCACAATAGTAAAGGACTTCAAAGCAAACAAGCATTGGCTTTTGCACTTCATTTTCCGGAGTCGCATTAAATATGGGTTAATCTTTTTTTAATATTATTTTCTGTCGGTTTGCAAATAGTGATCTGTATTATATGAAGTTTTTAGTGTATGCAGGTTTCTACAGTAGTGTCAAATGTGACCCTGGACCCACACTTTCTCCAGGTAGACTGCTATGACTTGCTGCGATTATTTCCCAGAATACACGACAGATACGTCTTCAAGTAGAGTAAAAGCAGTCCCTGATCTGATTCACAACTCTCACCGTGCCTGCGGTAAGGGAACGCACAAATCACCTTTATATGTGATGGCTGCAGCCAGCCGTGGAGTAGCTACTGGCCTGGCAGATGCACATTAGTGATTTTTACAGCTTCGCTGGGATGATTTGTTTATACAAGCATTTTTTATCTGTAACCCACAACCTCACATAATGCTTTGGCACTGCTCGGTGTATTAGAAATAAACACAATATAGTTTTGGAAAATGTTTCTCACTTTTCCACATGTCAACGAGGAGTTTGCCATCTCCTTCGCTGTTGGCCGCACACCAGTAGACATGGTTGGAGGCAGGCTGTGCCCATTGCACCAAGGCACCACACCCTGCATACTTGCTCGCCGCCAGCATCTTTTTGCTTACGCCTGTGCAGAAAGGAACTAGTCAGTACACAGAGCTGTTAATGTCGACTTCATGACAGACTGGTATGATGCTGCAAAGGACATGGAGAATAATGATTAAAGTTTAGCACCTTTTGCTATGTGCCAAGCATCGAAGTAGTGATGGATCTCGGGCTCCTTCGTCTTCATGTGGCCCTTGATGGCGACGTGACGGTCGGTCACCAAGTCTTCAATGGTGATGCCCTGCTGCTTGAGGAAATCTATGCCCTTGACACAGCCATACAGCTCCATGGAGTTGCTGGTCTTGACCTCAGGAGCCTGTAATTGTAAAAAGAATGGTTGCACAATAATAGCATGTTGCATATTATGTTATTTAGACATTCTCAAATCCAAACCATGACAAAAAAAGATTGGGGTAAAAAAAAAAAAAGCAAAATTGGTCAGCTTATATAAAATGGTTGCATATAAAACATCTAAACCTGTTGCCATCTGATATTAAAACGATGGAGGTGGGGACTACCCAGATAGTATAAAGGACAACATACCATAATTACTCGAGTAATAGCTGCACTATTTATGAACAAGGCCCTTGCATCTACTTTACTGCAAAACATATATAGGCCAATCATTGCGTTGTGCATAAATAACATAGCGAATAACTAGATCGAGAACACGATTCTCCATACAAATGCAATCTTCACAGATGGTATCTTTGCGCAAAGACGTTATCTCTCTCCTGTAAACTGCTGGAATCGTGCTGTCGATCTCAATGATAGGCAAGCCGCGTGCTCCACAGAAAAGCGAACCCTCAGGTTTTCTTCATAACCAGTGCGGCTATTACTTGAGTAAATACGGTATGCAGGTAGAAAACAATTAGTGCCGAGTTACTAAATGATTAAGCAGCAACTTATTAAGTTATGAGCAATTTTATTGAAAGGAAGGTGTGAGTGGCATTGCACACGAGTTATTAGCCACACATGAGTCAGGAAACTGAATGGCTACATGGTCAAACTGCCCCTAACATTTTATTTCAATTTCTTCTTTTTAGGTTCAATAAACAGTCACCTTGCACAGTCCCCTTAACTTTACTAGAAGGACGAAAAAGCCTCCCTGAAAGCATGAAATACTTGCCTCTCCAAGGCAGACCTGTACGAAGTAGACGACTTGGTTGGTGTCCATCTCCATGAACGTGTACGTCATGTACTTAGCAGAGAAGCCCGGCGAATCGAACCTCCCGTCTCCAGCCAAGTGAACTTTCTTTCCCCGCCTCTCTTCAAGAAGCCTCTTTTGCTCTCGATTCCACACCTGCAAAAAAAAAATAAAAAATTAAGAAATAATAATAATTACATTTTTAGGAAACATTTCTTTAATATTTGTCCAAACTGATAAATTTTTCGTTGTTAACAAATTACGAGTGGGCAGCTACACTTGTAGCGAAATTACCTTTGTCTTTCACATGCAGTGCCACATACTATATAGAATAGATTGTCATCTCGAGCAGTGGGTGCTATCCGTCTGTCCTTCTTTGTGCTTTGTTCAGCAGGCACAAGTGGTGATGCAACAACAAGTTGTTGCATCACCACTTGTGCTACCACATGCCAACTCAAATGCAAAGTATGAAAACAAACTTCTAATTTTTTTAGTGGATGCTGTCTAAGCATATTGTTGGTGGTAACCATCGCCTGCTGGACTTCAGAAGCAAGGTCGCACATTAATAAAAGCTATGGGAGTATGCGGCTCCAAAGTTGCACTTAGAGAAACATGGCCCTTGGCAGACAGTAAGTGAGCTGAGGCACTCACTCGTTCAATTGCAGGCTGCACGATCGCTGTCTGGTAAAGAAAGTATGTTCGTTCTGCAATAGCCTGGATGTTGATGAGTTCCAGGAGCCTCAGCACTTTGTAAGGGCTGGAACCAGTGGCCACAATAGCTGTGGACAGGAGGACGTTGCAAGCAGCCTTGTTCTTGATGAGTGGCTGACTCAGCCAAGTCCTCGTATGCTTGTCGGGACACACAGCCTTCACCTTGATCATTGTGCCTTGGGTCCAGGTTTGAAGTGTGCATGTTGCATGGCATGTGATGCACTGCCGGAACAGCTGCAGGAGGCAACTTTGAAACACAATGTATTTCTTCTCCTCGTGCGGGGGGTGCGATGGGGCTGAGTCGCTGCACAAAGTATATTCCCAGGGTCAGTCACAACCTAAATCAATGATGTGATTGCTGCGCCATTTGTGCCAAACTGCGCCAAAGGGCTTATTCTGCGACATTTTACCAAAATGTAAGGAATTTGCACCAACATTGTGCCACAACTTCATTTCACTTTAATACCGAGAAGTGAATAGCTCAGGGCTCTCCACCAGGCCGGATCATTATGATATGCTTGTGCGGGTTTTCAGAACTTTCGATAATCGTCTCAAATAAGGTACTACTCCATTTGATTTCACGTCAAACATTGAATGTACTCGGAAGTTTCGCAATAATTCTTATTTTTGTGGTCTGCTTTGGCGAGTTAGTTCGTTGAGTGTTCTCCTCATTGCACACTGATGTACTGCAGTAAAGCGACAGCGACAAAGTAGTCATTGCGATTTTGCATGTCTTGCTTTGCCGCAGTGCACCCATGTGGTCAGGTTAAAGCACTCCTCCAGAGCGAGACGTGGCAGAATTTCAGAATAAAACTTGGGCTTGTATTCACTGGATGCCATATTTGAGTGGGCGATTTATAGCGCATTCTCAGAACGAGCTCACATTAATAGGCTGCTCTGACCGGCAATCTTGATGGTTTGTAATCCATGTTGCAAAAACACTGCTTATGCATGCCATCAGCACGTGCTCAGCAGTCATGCACAAAGGTATGGCCTCCAGTGAATACTCCCATACGATAGACTGCGATATCCTGGCACTATCTTTTTTCAATTCGAGATTTCGCAAGGATACTTTGGTATTGCAAGAAGATTTATATGGACTTTTCTGTAATTTTATTTTGTATGCTTTGTTTTTCATCTGAATTCAGAATCAATTTTCTTGCAACCTCTAGAACTAAAAAAAAACAAACAAGAAACATAAATTTACATGACAAAAACATTCCCCGGGGAAGGGGAACAAAGGAAAAGCACAAATCTCCAAACACATCTAGGTGACTGGTGAAAATTCGCCCGGTCCTGGTATCGAACCAGGGACCTCTCCATTTCCAGTGGAGCGCTCTACCAACTGAGCTAACCAGGAGTTGGACGTCTGTAGACCAAAGAGAGCTGCTACCAGTCTAACACCAACAAGGGTGAACGGCCAAAATAACCATTCACGGCTGTATGTGCTGTCTTTCATCAATCATCTCGCTTTTACTGTGTCTGGTGCTTCTACACGCAAGTAAATAGCTAGTTCTGTGTTTAAGGGAATCGCTCCTGCTGTGCCATCGATGCTAACAAAAGGTTACACGTAAGTGACAAGGCGAAGTAAACATTGCCTCTTAGTTGCACAGGCCAACACATTAATCTTAACGCAATATTTGCAGTGAAATGAATGAAAATAAAGAGTACGCTTATGCTACCAAAGCTCTCTTTGCCGCTCCAAGAGCTGCTCCAAACTGAATCGGACCAGTTGCATCACTGCTAAATGAACTAACAGGCCACTTTTTACACCCTCGTAACCCTTTCTCCTATATGTGAAGGATCACAGACATGGTACTTGACCTTGAGACCTATTAACATGTATAATGGGGGTTTCAGTGAAAGCCTTAAATATTCCTAAGGATAGGGTAATTGAAAAACAAATGAACTCTTTTCAAAAACCAAATGTTAGGAATTGCAAAAATATATAAAAATTAGCTATGTAACTAAAAGTTGTAACTTTATAATTAGCAGTTTTTAGGTCTATGTTGCAATTAGAATTTTAAAGGCTATCACCATGGAAGGCTAAAGCAATTTATGGAAAGTAAAAAAAAGTAACCGGCTTGGAGATAATCGCCGACAAACTTTGCTCTGTAATAGGTATGATAAGACATGCACGCAGTGATATTGAATTTCAGAAATGTACCAATTACAGTGCAGAGTTCATCGGCGAATATCATCAAGCCGGTGTCTTCTTTTTACTTTCTGTAAATTGCTTTAGCCTTCCATGATGGTAACCTTCAAAATTATAATTGCAACATGAACCTGAAAACTGCTCATTACAAAGTAGATTAGCGCATTTCAGTTACTTAGATAGGTAATTTTTATATATTTTGTGATTCCCAAAGTCTCTCGCAGCTCATATAGGTTTTCGAAAAGAGTTTCTTTGTTTTTCTATTACTCTATTCTTCAGAATTTTTGAACGCTTTTGCTGAAACACCCAGTATGTGCAACATTCCACAACATTTTGCTCAATTCTATGTCATTTCATGGCTTTATTTTCTTGTTTGAATTTCCTAAACTTCTATTAGCTTAGGAACATATGACTTTTGTACCATGTGCCCCCTTTTTTAGAATCTGAGAGTGCAATATTTTCTGTACGCTGTATTGAGAGTTGAGTGACACCACCTATCGTAACACTGTAACCGAGTATGTCAGGTAATGCAGTGACAGCTACCATAAAAAAATGCTAATACACCAAAGGGCTGGGTCCCTAACAAGGCAGCAAATTTATACCCTAAACTTATAAGCAATTTCTGCTATGTTAACTTCCCCTCGAATACATTTTCTCTTGATTGCAGCATGGTGCTCTCATATTGAAACCCTTTGTTATGCAATGGAAGAGCTCTGTGACGGATTACCTTAGGTAGCTCTCATCCCGAGATGGCTCATAAGTTGTGTCTGCATCTTCCACCGGCACAGGGCTTGAACACATTCTTGGAGTTTCAAGTGAAATGTCCCCAAGCAGGAAGTCTTCTTCTGCTGGCTTGTGTGAAGGGGCAACCCGCTCTTCAAAGAAACTTTCCTTGCTTGCCCTCTCGGTAGTCGATGGCGGCGCAAGTAGTGGCTCCATAGCAGGTGGCGCAGGACTTGCACATGGCAGCACAGGTGTTGGCTCTGTGGTGGTTGGAGCAGAACTTGCGTCTGGTGTCGCAGGTGCTGGTTGCCACGGGTCTGTTTGGGTTTCTTTTGACTCTTTCGTGCAGACGTTCACTTGTGTAGCTGAAATGTGTGTAAAAACTTGCACTTTGTTTGTTCCACCAGGTTTCCGTTGGGCTATGTCCACAATGTTTGCTACACAATGTTTTTATGTGAAGTCATTGAGAATACTAAATACAATGAAGTGCAAAACTAGCTTGCTTTATGTCTTCAGAGCAGCTGTCGACAATGATAATAAAGGCCTATAATATCTTGTACCTATGCGAGTTAATATAAAGTCTTGCCCGAGCAGAAATATGTCCTGAATTAACCATGGCACACTGCTCGTTTAAAAAGTTCAAAGTGGAGAAAATTTGTATAAAACTGGGATGTATACACCTTTTCATTTCCGCAGTTGTATAGAGAATACTGGCGTACCTGTCGCCATTAGGTAGCTTCACTGCTGTTCGTTCTGATTTCAGCGCGCTCGTGGCTATTTTGCTGTGTTATGTGGCACTCGTTTAGTTCTATAATATAAATCTTTATTATTTATTGAAGCCACCTTATGACTGCCATGTTATCTGATTTCAAGAAGGCAGCGCCCATGTGACAGTAAATGAAAAGAATACAACACTGTCAAGCCTAGACATAGTTGGAACTCCACGTCAGTTTAATAAGAAGAAACCTTTGCCAAAAAACGAGGGACAAGAATGCTAAGAGCACCGACATAGTGCTGACTAACAACTGAAGTTAATATCTGCATAGAACAGGACAATAGACATTGAAAGAAATCAGATAGGAAAGGATTGAGGAAATAACCCGACAAGACCCGTCACATCAAGCCTCCAAGCATATATACATATCTGCCGCACTCGATGTAAGACTTAGCCCAAATAGGCTTGAATGATTTACATACAAGGCAGGATGTAAGCAGTGCTCACCTTTGTTTTTAAACTTTTTTTCGATGCTGTATGTGTGATCAGCAGATGCCAGAGAAAAGCTGTTCCCATGATCGCTGCTAGCTGTGAGCTGGAGCTCCTGCAAGCAAAGAAAATGTGTCCAAAGTTATCTTTGAGTTTGTGCCTGGTGGTTAACTCTAAAACAGCCTAATTCGCATTCCCCATACAAAAGACTGAAAATTAGCAAAACATATTTTAAACAATAGAAGGGTATGCACTTGGGCTAGTTGGCAGTTCATGGTTCAGAGGGTAAAAGCGCTAAAAAACAATGGATAAGTGAAAGACGAACAACACAGAGCACTAGGCTCCGAGGTGGCGTTTTTAAAATCTTTCGTAAAATGGATAGTAGATAGATAAGCATTGATTTGATGATGTTGCATTTCTGTCATCACGTCTTGATTTCACGGTGTGTGCATATGTTTTTCTGTGAGTAAACTTCAGTTGCAAGAAGAGCTCTGTGTTGTTCGTCTCTTTCACTTAGCATACATCTACTTTGGCAAAATTAGCATCTTGGACAAAAACAAGTTAACATGAAACAAATCTCTCACTTCTAATGTGTATCATTTTATCTTTGAGTTCTCTCTCCTGCGTCTGGCCAGTGGGTGTGGCGATGAAGGCATTGGAGAGGAGAAAAATGGAGGAGAGCACCAAAGGAGCGAAAATGGAAGAAGGGAGCTAAGAGGAGACGACCGTCGTCTTGACGCAACACGCTTCCCGTACAGAGCACTGTTGAAGCTACGCGTCGTCTGCTACAGGTCGACTTCTTTTTCGCCTGAATAAACGTTTGCAGTCAAACGTAAAGAAAACTTCATTCGTTAGCTTGTTAACCCACCGAGGAATAACGGTATATTATTTTGTCAGAGCCTGCGATATAAAAGAAAATAATCAAAATTTAGATGTTGATCCCATGCATTCCAACGGGCAGATGAATGAAAATGGCGGCCCTCCTCGCTCAGCTAGGAGCAGCCGGGAGTTCACGCGCATGCGCTCATGCCTCTCGCTCTGCGCCGCGGGCTGATTGGCTCACTCGGGAGGGGGACGTTGCAGCGGCGAGACCATAGACTGTCCAAACTCTCCTCATATACGGCTCTGCTCCCTCCCTCTCATGTTCACCACCGCATACTTACAGAACAACGTAGAGAGTCGGGTACATCCTCCTCAACAGGCACGATTTCAATGGGGCTGACTGCCAAGTCTTGCCCAGACAGCACCTGTGAGGAATAACTTTTCATGTTGCTGTGGTACAGGCATGCAGCCAGGATATTGATTCGGAGAATGGGGTGAGGGGGGGGGGGAGAGAGAGGGGAGAGGAGGTCCCAGCAAAATGAAAGATTTCAAGGTGGGGGGGGGGGGGGGGGCCAGGGGCCCCCCCTCCCCTTTGGGATCCGTGACTGTTGTGGTATTCATGTGACATCGAAGTAGTAATTAACCGAAGTAGTACATTTAGTGCTGATAGTATTTAGCTACCAACCACTACTTACAATGGTGTGTTCTGGACCGTGATCTGTTCTCATGTCCTCCTTGCATGTTGCCGGTGTTTCTGGATCATCCTACGGAAGAATTTTAAGATTAGCATTAATATTTGTAACTAAGGTGGTGTGGTCATACAGAACACATGATCTAGATAGAAAACATATGAACAAATCAAAAGCTTCAGGCATGACCAACTCTTTTTCCATGGCTTCAGTGATCAATTGTATACAGCTGGACAAGGATGTTAAGGTACCATTTGACGTTGTCAACTTGAAGGTGATATCTTTGCACCATCCCCCCCCCCCCCCCCCCTTTGGGATACATGACTGCTCTGGTATTCATGTGACATCGAAGTAGTAATTAACCCTGCGGTACATTTAGTGCTGATAGTGTTTAGCTACCAACCACTACTTACAATGGTGTGTTCTGGACCATGATCTGTTCTCATGTCATCCTTGCATGTTGCCGGTGTTTCTGGATCATCCTACGGAAGAATTTTAATGTTGGCATTAATATTTGTAACTAAGATGGTGCGGTCATACAGAACACATGATCTAGATGGAAAACATATGAACAATTCAAAAGCTGCAGGTATGACCAACTCTTTTTCCATGGCTTCAGTGATCAATTGTATACAGCTGGACAAGGATGTTGAGGTACCATCCAATGTTGTCAACTTGAAGGTGATATCTTTAAGTGATTACAAAAATCACACTTGACGGGTAGACATTTTATGAACAGGTCGCCAAAGTAAGATCCATCGAGTGTCAATTATCGTGACAAGATACATATGTTGAGAGAAAGTTGTCTGCTTCTTGCACAGGAGTTGTGGTGAAGTCAGAACGACACCAAGCTCTGATTGAATATAAAAGAATAGTGGGTAGCCCTGATACTGAGTGCCACCCGAGGGTGGGAGGAGGAGGAGGAGGAGGAAGCAAGGAGGGAGGGAGGGAGGGAGGGGGGGGGCGGGCGGGCTTTCTTACAAATTTAGCCAACCCTATAATATACACCTGCATTTTGAACCCCCACCCCTCCTGCGTACCCCAAGTAGTGGACATCCAAGCCACCTCAACCACCCCCCCCCCCCGCATTCCTGGATACGCCACTGGTTTACTATTTTTTTTTTTCAATCGGCCAATAAGAGCTCGATATTCTGACGTTATCGCAACACCTGTGCAAGAAGCAGACGAACTTGCGCTCCGTTTCTAAACACTTCCACGGCTCACGAGCAGCAATGATTGCAATGACTGTGTAAGTCACAGCGGAGCAGCTTGCACAGAAAAAGTGCTCGCGTTCTAGAACTAGTGAAAACTATCGGCGTATAAATTGGTTACTCACCGTCCTGCGCCGCTTGCCCACTGCAGTAGGTGCGGCGCCCACGTGAAGTGACGGGACCGAATCGTCGCTCAGGCGCTTACGTTTTAGCTCAAAGCCCATTTTCTTGGAGACGTCCCACGACAAGTACGACTCCGCCGAGAAATGGTCGGAGCACACACGTTCGACTCCCGGTAGGCGGGTGTCGCTGCTCATTCCAAGTGCCTCCAGCCAGTGACTTCGCAGTGGCTCCTTGGTAGGCACGCGATGAAATGTGACGCTGGCATCACCTTTACGGAGCACCCGCCCGCAGCCTTTTACGAGGCACTTCATCCTTAGGGCGCCGGAACCGAAAGTGCAATTGTCATTTTTCTGCAGAAAACATAATCCCTGTAAACTGCGAGGGCATCTACAGGTAAGCAGTAAAGTTCTTTTGAGCGCTGCACCGTCAACCGCACTTATCCTCGATGTATCAGGAATCTGGAACTTGCCGCACAGCGCGAGACCACGGGAGACAAATTCGTACTTTAGTTTCTCGCAAAATGCGCCGCCGGCATCGTGCGTCGTCTGCTCGGATCCGCGAAGGAGCCCGCGCGCTCGCGCCGGCTCTTCCACCGCTTGGTGGCGGGTATGTCGACGGGTCATTTCTTGTTTCCGTACTTTATAAACTGCATTTGTTTCTTTTCTGATCTAAACTAGTGAACAAATACTACTTTTATAAATAATTGAAATGGTTCGCGCCACTTATATTTTGTATTTCGACCAAAAAAAAGCTTTTAGCGGCTCTGACCAGTAGGAAGGCCAGGACCAAAAACGTCACATTTCGCGCGCTTTAGGCACCGTAGGTCGCCCCTGTAGGTGGAGGAGGTTTCCGCGTCGTCCGGTTAAAATATGACGGACTCATATTTAATTACTATCTCTGTGCCAGCTGGCTTGCCCGAACCCCGAGGGACGTGGAAACCGCAAAAAAGATAGACGCTTAAATATGATTGCAGGGCCCCTTTAATAAGAGAGCGCGGGAACAGAAGCTAGTCGGACGCAATGATTCGGGTGAAAATCTGGCGGAGCACTGAGAACGATGCGGGCGTGAAACTTTGTTAGAGCACACAAGGTTTATTAAGAGAGGGAAGAAGATCGAAAAGAGATAAATTGAAGCTTTCGGTATGCACAAAGCGGCTGACAAATGCGTAGGCAGCCGTTCCTTTATCTGCTAAACAAAGAAATTGTGTTTCTTGAGGGCTGCATGTGATGAGCGATAGGAATCTTTAGCTTCTGCATGTGTTTAGGCGATGGGGATCGGCAGTTTGACAATGTTTCGTGTTTTATCAAATCAGTTGGAAGTTGACGCTTGCCCGCGTCGTATGTGGTTCTTTTTTCGTACTGTTCTGTTGCGCCATTTATCCTTTTATTCGACATGAAGTGAATGTTGGGCTGGGACAAATGATTTTACCCATTGGGGGTTTACTATTCGCATATCGTTTTGTGGGCCAAAATAAAGAGGGTAGAAAATCAAAAGCCAGCTTTTCGGTTACGAACATTTCGAGATATAGGGGACTATTTTGTACCTCATTTCCCTTGAAAGCTCTTCGCCTTTTCACTGTGATAGATCCGCTGTACTCATATCATGTCAGTGGTACCCAAAGCATGTCAACGGTACCCACAGCACATCAGCCGACCTGAACTCACGCGTTGCACACGAGAACTGCGCCACTCGGATGTATGCGCTCGTCAACAAATATTTGGATTCGCGTTCGTGGTCAATGAGTGCCCTGACGGAACTTATAATCACTTGCGAATGACAAGTTATATGTTGTGTTCAAAAAGCACGGTGAAAGCTTCGAGTCATCCCACCGGTGCAAAAGCATGTCACGACCACGTGATTTCTCAATCCGCTTTTGAGTTGAGGATTAAAGCTAAGGAGGAATGAAAAATAATTTCATGACTCCTTTAAGTGTAATACAATGTGAATATAAATGCCAAGGGGGGGGGGGGGTGTATTACGTGAGTGGGACGCTCTGCTAATCTATGAGGATGTCACTTTCAGCTGAGTCATTGGGTGGTTATTTTTTGTCTCAGCGGCATGGTAGCGTGATAGTGCTCATAACGGCGCGGAGGGTGCTATCGCACCACTTACCGAATTAGAGAACCACAAGCAGCAGTAAAGCACGTGAATAATAGGCAGTTTCATGATACTCCTAAAACATATGGTTTCGGAACAATTCTTTTTTAAAATAAATGCCATTAAAACGGCGGTCGTCGCACAGAGCTTCGCATCGGAGCGCTGCTGGCGGGGCCGCAGAACTCCAGAAGAACGCGGCGGTGGCGCCCTCTAGTTGCATCCACAGAAAGAGTAACATCTTTGGCGGGCATCGGGACTCTGGTTACCATGAGGTTTAATAAAACTAGTTTTTTGGATAAAAACAAACGGAAATACACTTTTTTGTAAGAACCTAATTGGAGATTGGTACAAAATAGCAGACACGGGATGGTTCTTAAAAAAAAAAAAATAGTTTACAAGGTTTCGCGGCATAATTACTATTGTTTTTATACAACCACGACTCACCAGACATTTGAGGTAGCGCGTCCAGAAGTGGGTGCGTGTTGACTTCTGTGCATATTCACGGTACGTCTGCACGGGAGACAGGATTGGCGACCCTGGATCCTTGCTAGTCGCGGGCCAGGGGTAACCTGGTCCGTCGTACGTGTCTTTGCGTTGAGAGAGACGCATCGTCATGGCTGCTGCGTCAGCGCCGCACTCCCCCCCGCCGAAGTCTCTCGCCTTCGGCGTTGTCGTGCCCTTGGGCACCTCGCCGGACGACCTCATCCATGCTATCGCCGGCGTTGTCGGACTTCCTGAAGTCTACTCAGCGCAGCACCTTGGTGCGCAAAGTTTTGAAATCGTTATCAACAGCCGTCTCGCCGCCGCCAAGCTCGCCGAAGCCGGCGTCATCACCATCGCCTCTACCCAAGTCCCCATCGTTCCAGCCGGACCGCAGGTGCCGAACGTCACTTGCATGTTCCTGCCCACCTATGTTCGCAACGACCTGCTGGTTCAAGCCCTGTCCGCTCACGGGAAGGTCCTGGAAATCACGCATGCAACGTACCGCAGCACACCAACCGTAAAGACTGGGACAAGATATGTGAGAATCGAGATGAAGGAGTCGGACCCGGTCCCTAACTTCCTTCGTATCCGAGGCCACCGGGCGACCTTCGACTACCCGGGCATCAAGCGGGTATGCCGGCGGTGCCGACTGGAAGGACACATTCGCGCCAACTGCACGACAGAGCACTGCGACCGGTGCGCTGTTTTCGGACACGCTACGGAAGGGTGCACGTCTGATTGTCGGTGATGCGGCGGCACCCACGCAACTGTGGACTGCGTGGCTCGGCGGAGCTACTCGTCTATGGTCGCTGGGACAGCCTCGTCTGATTTTCCTCCGCTGTGGACGGGGGGGACAAAAAGGGCCTGGGAACCCTAGCTTACCCCATGGAAGCGGAGCCACTGAGGCGGGGTCCATACCAGAAGAAGCTATCATAAAGGTGGTGCCCCTCGTAACTTCCCACGTAGGGAGGTGCCCCCGCATGGTGGCGGGGGTGATCTCCAGGGGAGCCGAGGGATATAAAAGTGATCACTGATCGGCGGGGCTGGATGGTTCATGGTTGCCATTCAGTGACCGTCGGACCCGCTGTGGGACGCACTCATGTCTTAGTAGCGGAGCCGGACAGTGAGTCGAGCAAGTGGGTACTTTTAGTACCACTGGTTTTCCCGGGCCGTTCCACTGGCTGTACAATACAATAGTTGGTTTCATTTATAACCCCTTAATTCCAATTGGCTTTTTCCTGAAATTTTCACTTGATCACATGATCCTATTCATTTTTATTGGAATTGGGTTAAGCCTGCGGTGCGAAAGCGGGAGCGGGCAGGGGACAAGTTTTTCTTAAATTTTTTTACAAGAGCCCCGACTCAAAATCTGTCCCCAGCACATGAGGTGTCTCCCCCTCGCCCAGCCGCCCAGACAGGGGCGCTCACAGCCCTAACCAAGCCCCAAGCCAACGTCGACCCGAAGAACTCCCAGTCCGCGCTGTCAGGGGGACGACCGCCTCCGGCTCCGCTGACGGACGCGGCGGGTGCGATGGCCCCCGAGACGCAACTCGTCACACCGGCACCTAGCCTCTCTGCTGTGGACACCCACACCCCGTGGAGCGAGGTGACGGAGGACCCCGAGGTCTCTAGCGACGACGAGCGCCTCGTCATCATAAAGGACGAGTCGCCTGTGGCGGAGGACCCCTCCCTTTCTTCTCTCGGAGCCCCAAGT